CTAAACCTTTCCTCCATAAGCCTTCCACGGGCCTAGCCCAGACAGAAGGCTGTCATAAAGGCCTTGGGTCTAGAGGCATATTTTCCTGTGTGGGGTGGGGGCCAGCCACATCTGGAAGTGTTCAGGACTTCCTCCTGGCTCTGCACTCAGGGATTACTCCTGGAAGATTCAGGGGACCATGTTGGGTACAGGTAATCAAACCTGGGGTCAGCCACATGCCAGGTAAGTGTCCTACCCACTATACTATCTCTAACAGTGGCTTTTTATAATGTGTTTTATGGTGAAAGAGATAAAGTAAATATAAGAAAAGCCAGGGCAGAAATAAGGCCAACTGCCGTGTTGTGTGTGGAAGACTGGGGGGACGGGAGGGTTGCAAAGCAAGGGGTCTATAGGGGCTCAGCTGAGTCGCCCTGTAATAGGAGCTGTGTGCTTATAAAGACAGGCCTTGCAAGTAAAAGCACTATCAGGAAAGAGCAGTGATGTAAAAGCAAAGGACGGCTGAAAGTAAGAAAAAGCAAACCCAACTTTTCCCCTAGAGAAAGCAAGTTCTATTGCCGAATCAGCTGGCACAGTTTACAAACATACTGCCCTTTGCTTTTGTTTTGCACTTTTCAGCCTCGAAGAGAATATTAGTTTTTCTTTCACTGTGGCAAATCTAAAGGCAAAGAATGGATAGAGTTCTTAGCTTATTAATATATATTAATATAATACATAATTAATATATATTGTAAATTCTTAACTTATTCTATATAATTCAGATGAACACAGCCCCTATCTTCAGCTTCATATTTTGTGAGAGTCTTACTGCTACATGAATATGAAATATGGCTTCATGATTGCCATTAGCCATAACACATGTATGACGTTTCTTATTTTCTATTCCTGGGAGTTTTCTGGCATAGATGAAGCGTTTCCAATTTTTCCATGTTCCACTCTTTTCTCATTTGTCAGGTATTTCTCCATGAACAATCTATAAAATCTTATTTAATGGATATGTTATGATACATACAGTGGACTTCTGTGGTAGATTTTATTTTACTTTACTGGGGAGCACTGGTGACCACTCACAGATGTGTCTGGGAGCTACTCCCAACTGTGTGTTTGGAGGCTGCACCCAGCTGTACTCAGGAAGCCGTGTGGTACTAGAAATCAAAGTAGGCTCAGCCACAAGCAAGGCAAGTGCCTTAAACTTTGTGCTAGCCTTCTAGTGCCATACAGGTTTTATATTATATACTCTAAATTAAGTCCCTATCCAAGTTACAAACATTAGGTATTCCTTTTGCTTTTTAAGTCACACTTGGCGGTGCTCAGGGGTTATTCTAGTTCTATGCTCAGGGGACCATGTAGGGTCAAACCACTCACATGCAATGCATGAGCTCAGTTCATTGAGCATTCTCTCCCAAGTCCCAATACAAGGTGTTTTCTGCATTCATCATTGGAGGTGGTGGTGGTGGTGGTATGTGTGTGTACATGTATGTGTATATGTATGTGTACATGTGTGTCTTCACACATGTCAGCAGGGAGTAGGAAAGACACACATAAGAGAAGTGAATGAACAATGGGATGACTCAGGAGCATGCAATGAAAAGGACTGTAGATGAAAAACAGATCCAACAGGTCAAATTAGAATTTTTTACTGGAAAAGAGGCCACAGCTTAATTGAAAGACTTAACTGGAGGATTAAGTCTCTCTACTCATCAAGTTAAGTGCTGGCAGAGTGAAGGATGGCAAGCAAATTGGTGCCAAGCAAAGTCTGCCATCAGCTCTCTGGAATGGATGCACAGTCCCTTTCCAATTCTTCCCTGAAGACAATCTCCTCACGGAAGGAAGTCTAAGGTCCACCCGCCCCAGGCACACACTGAGAAAATGGAAGAGAATGGATGAATCTTTGGGTGCTTTCAATTAGAGAAGGTGCAAAACAAGTAGAACAAAACAAAAACAGTGGGGCAGTCCCAATTATTGAGAGCATCTCTCTCTCCTTGCAGAGCAAATGAACAAACACAACTCTGCCAATTCCACGGCATTCTAGACTAGACATCACACTCTCCTAATCAGGAACTTTTCACAAGCCCTTCAAAGCCACTAAAAACCCAAGAGTAAAGTCTGAGTGTGGACCAAATATATAAATAATAAAAAATAAATTAAAAAATAAAATTAAAGGGAAAAAATAATGAAAAAATTTCAGCACCCAGGACATGAAGTGGCTCAGTGGCATAAAACACTGGCACTGCCAGCATAAACTCATGAGTTTGCCCCCCCCCACCCCTGCAATGCCACACACATTGCTCTGAGCTCTGTCCCAGAAAATCTGCTGTCTGGGACCCCTGGAACCTCAACAGTGTGCAATCTCCAACACATAGCAGGGATGTGTGGACCCCCATCTCCCATCCCCTGCCTTGCCACCTGGCCCAGGGAGCCCTGGGGACATGTGCACAAACCCCAGTGAGCAGTACAACCTAGAACGTGCAACTCCCAGCTATCACAACAGCAACAACTGGAAAGGAAAGGAGGAAAAGGGAAAAAGGAAAATTCTCTTGTGCTTGGAAATAGTGCAGCAATTAGGGCGCATACTTAGCAAGCCCCTGCCTCAGGTGTGATTCCCAGGACCACATGGTGTTCCAGGCACCTCTGGGTGCAGCCGTGAGGGTCCCAGCCCTGGAGTCCCCCAGGACTGGCAGACAGCCTGGGTATCCCTGCATCGCAGGATCCAAACAGCATCACTCTCTGGCCCTTGTGCTGCACTGCCAATCCAGTTAGTCAAGACTCTCCAGGGGCTGGAGTGATAATACAGCAGGTAGGGTGTATGAGACCAACCTGGGTTCAATTTCCAGCATTGCATAAGATCCCCTGAGCACCGCCAGAAGTAATTCCTGAGTGCAGAGCCAGGAGTAACCTGTACATCACCAGGTGTGACCCAAAAAGCCAAAAAATAAAAAAGCTCTTCTTTAGAATTGAATCCATTTAAAATTAACTCATGCTCCACATTTGGCTTATCAAGATATTTGCTTGGCAGTGACACAAGTATGTAGGAACGATGGATATCTGGCTATGGTTGAGTGAGAAAAATGGTCAAATAAACATGTTTTTAAATGATTTTCTTCATTTAGCCCCTCAGGTAGAGAAGAAGTGCGGGGATCACTGAAATTGTGTCAGGAAAGAACCCCCGGGCTCTCACTTGCTAAACTGATGCTCTATCTTCTTTGAAGACTTGACCTTGTTTCCCAAGCTTGTCACTCTACATTAGTTCTAGGTCTAGAACAAAGCCCTCAGACAGACAGCACTTGAGGGGGGGGGGAGGCAAAGACCACTGAACCATGTTATGTGACATGAGTTTGGCCAGGACCTGGATGCAGAACAGCACTTGGCTGGCAACTTCATGCAACTCAGAGGATGTCCGGGTGGAAGGAGAGATGGGAAAGGCATGGAAATATTTTGCAAATAACATCTTCTGCCCTCAGCCCCTGGACTCTAATGAATACACGCTCATCTCCGAAGAGACCAAGATAAAAGAAATAGGAGAAGGAGTCAATGAAGAGGAAAAGAAAGATGTGAAGAAAAGTGCATTGAACACAGGTGGAAGGTTCCGGAGTCAGATGGACCTGGGTTTGAATCTAAGCAGTATAGATTAACTTTGTAAGAGAGGTAAGCCAATTTGCTTAACTTTGATGGACTTTGCTATCTCATCGTTAAAATGGAGTCAGTAACAAAAATCCTCTCAGATTACTGTGAGGATTAGAAAAAAAGGTATGTATGTAAAACATGTAGTATTCTTTCCCTCAAAAGAGGAGCCCAATGAAAGTGGTTGAAGAAAGATACCAGAAGAAAGGGGAAGAGGATAGAAGGGGAGAGAAGAACAGGGTGGGGGAGGGCTTTGAGAGAACAGGTTTCAAGTGCCAGAACAGTCTAAATTTGCTCAGAACAAACACTGCAGCCTCTTACAAACGCATCTGAAAATATTTTCTGGCCACCTACTCTGTGGTGTAGGTGGCCAGGAAATTAGCACTGTGTTTCATTCAGATCCAACGTGCCCTCCTCCTCCCCTTCTTCCTCTTCCTCTGGATATGGTCCAGCCCGGGGGAAATCACAGGTGTGCAACACATTCACAGTGACCTTGCTTGTACGAAAGCTGAACACATATGTGTAGTGGACATTTGCCATGGCTCTCTGGAGAAGGGGTCAGTGAGGCTGACTTGTGCGGAGATGCTAAGGAAGGACATGATACCCATGTGAATGAATGTGTAAGAGAATAGGGCGGGGTGACACGGAGAGTAAAAGCAATGCTGCCCCAGGTGCAGTTTGGCACTGATATATGGGGACCAGGAATAGATGAGAAGAGAGTTGCAGGATAACCGAAGGGGTGAGGGACAGGGAAGCCTTGAGACACACAGGAGCCTTGAGAGCAAGTAGAAGGGATGTACTATAGAAGCTGGTATGAAAGCTGAGGGCTCTGCCACATCTGATTCAGATTTCCTGCTCCCATGGGTGATGAAGTGTGCACCTCTCTACTTCCAAGATTATTCCTTAGAAGGGACCAAAATTTCACTTTTCGATTTCCAAGATAGGGGCTGGCGTGTGGGGCACAATTTGCACATGTAGGGTGGGTCCTCATCTTAGCTCTACTAACCACTAGCAGTACAAACCCAGACCAGCAAATGGGTTGTTGTTTCCTCAATTGTCAATTTAATGCCCCTTTGACAGATTGTGGGGAGAATGAGAAATCAGAGGACTTAATAAATCACTTCATTGAGAAGTCCTCAGAGTAATGACTGGCATATCAAAGCATGCACCCAAGTGGTCTCTGAGCCTTCTTCCTCTTCTCCCATTACCTGGTCATCTTCAGATCTGGGACAGATCCAAAAGCTTAAAGAACTTCTCACACAGGACTAAGGAGGAGAGATCCAGTGGAAACGCCTTTGGGAACTGCAAGTTCTTCCAAAACAACCACCTAGAGCAACATTCCCCACGCACCAGGCAAGAGCTGGCGGCTGTGAGCCCCTTACCTGGCTTGGTGAATGGCCTCCATCCACTCTTTGCCGTCCTGCTCTTCCTCACAGCGCAGCTCCAGTGGCTTCTGACCTTCGTGGCCAAAGAGAACAGTGAAGTAATACTGGAAAGGAGAACAAACAAAGCTCTGTCTTATTTTCAGGGGTGATAGCATAACCCCATGGGCATTCCCCACCCAGGGTAGATGTTTACAAAACACTTCACCATCATGTCAACCATCTTTCAAAATGGATTTATCGCTCCCCTCCAAGGACATGAATTTTTCCCTAGGAAAAAAAAAAACCTAAGTTGTACCTTAGCAATTCAATCCACAACTTCACTTTAGAAAACAGTATGTGATTTAAATAATATATCAACACAGGGGGCCAGAGCGATAGTACAGTGGGTAGGGCATTTGTGCTGCACACAGCCAACCTGGGTTCAATCCAGAGCATCCATAAGATCTCTCAAGCACCACCAGGAGTGATTCCTGAGTGCAGAATCAGAAGTAACCCCTGATCATCACCCTGGATAGCCCCAAAACATTAAGGCTTAAAATTCTTATAAACTAGAAAGTGAAATTTCATGATAAATTTCCAAAACATTATAAACATTTTGCCTAATGATGAACTATAATTGTAACTCCTCTAAAGTTAAAAAAAATGGCAATTTTCGCCTTTTCTTTTTTTAAAATTTTTTTAATATGTATATTTTACATTTTTATTAGTGAGACATCATGAGGTACAGTTGTAGACTTACAAATTTTTGTGCTTGGGTTTCAATTTTACAGTGATCAAATACCCATCCCTCCACCAGTGCCCATTTCCCACCACCACGGATCCCAGTATCCCTCTCACCCCTCATCCCCCCCATCCCACCCTGCCTCTGTGGCAGGGCATTCCCTTTTGTTCTCTCTCTCTTATTGGGTGTTGTGGTTTGCAAAAGAGGCATTGAGTGGCAATCATGTTTGGTCTATAGTCTACTTTCAGCATGCTTCTCCCATCCTAGGAGTATCCTCCCAACACCATTTATTTGGTGTTCCCTTCTCTATCTGAGCTCCCTTTTCCCCTAGCATGTGTGGTTGGCCTCCAAGCCATGGAGTAAAATTCCTGGTACTAATTTTCACCTTTTCTATTTACCAATTCCAACAAGAAGGCAATAGGAAAATAAAGGAGAAAGGTATAAATAATGGAAAGCAAGCAGGGATATAATTTTAAATATTTTTTACAAATCATAATTGTACTAAAAATCATTTAAAATAATTAGAATAAAACAGCTAGAAAAGGCTTAACAATTTGGAACTGCCCATACCTCTCTACTCTGGGGGTGCAGAGTCTTCCCTTTACTTTATGGTGCATTGCATCCTGCATTCACCCGATCCCAGCTCTGAGTGTGTAGAGCCCTTAAGGCACTTGCCCTGCACATGGCTGACCCAGGATGGTTCCCTGGCACCATAGATAGTCTCTGAGCACCCCCAGAAGTGATCTCTGGGTAAGCCTTGAGCACTACTTGGTGTGATTCTAACGCCCAACCAAGCAACTCAAGTTAATACTAAAATAGGCACAACAGAGGAATAGCCATAGTAGGCTACACGAATGCTTAATATGCTTAAAACAAAGCTTTGCGGGGGTGGGGGTAGGGAGGATATATTTTAACTCTTCAAAATTGCACTAAGATAGGCCAGAGAGTAGTAGAGGGGGTAAGGCTCTTAGCCCTGCATGCAGCCAATTCCTAAACCAATATGATTCCCCAAGAACCACCAGGAAAGATTCCTGAGCAGAAAATGAGGAGTGAATCTGAGCACCAAACAGGAGGCCCCAAACCAAACCAACACAACACAAAACAAAACTAAAAAAAAAAAAAAAAACCAACAACAACAAAAAAACACTGCTCCTAGAAGCTTACTTATAAGAAACACTTCCACTACATTCCTATTTTAACATTTTTGCCGCAGGTTAAAAGATGCATCTAGCTTAAGTGTTCCTTTAACCACTTTACATGAAGCATCTTTTTATAATCTGGGCTGAGTGAAAGTAGATATATAATGAATTATTTGTTCTCTATATTTGAATCCTAATGTATAACAAATGTGAAGCGAATAACTACAAGTCCACAGAAAAGCACATCACCAGTGCTGACATTTCAGATTAGACTTGATAAAAAGAGAACGCTTTGAGCTTCAAGAGACAGAAAATTAAGAAGTCACATACAAAAGATTTGGAAGCAGAGCAGCACTGAGTTGCTGAAAGCAAGCAATGAAACACTTTTAAGAGCCTCCAGGAAAAATTATTTTCAATATAGAGTTCTATGTTCAACTAAACAATCAGCCAAGTATTAGAGTTGAATAAATATTTTCAGCATTTTGAAAAGTATACCTCCCAGAATATGTTTCTTAGTTCACTGAATAAGTGGTTTTGCAAATTAAGAAATGATTAAGAAATAGGAAAACGGAAGGCAGAGAGATACTACAAGAAATAAGGTATTTTCCTTTTACATAGCAGACCTTATTTGATACCTGCTATTACATTTGGCCCTCAAACATTACTCCTGACCATTTCCCAAACCCATCTCCCCACCTCAAAAAAAAAAAAAATTGAAATTCAAAGTGAGATCAGAAGATCAGGATGCCAATAGGAAAGCAACATAGCAGTATCTGGGGCCAGAGAGACACAGGGGTAGGCTGCTTTTCTTGCACACGCTCAACCCTGTTCAACCCCCGCACTGCATATGTTCCCTAAGGACTTCTAGGAGTGACACCTGAGCACAGCCAGAAGTAGCCCATGAGCACTGCCAGGTGTGGCCTAATCCCCCCACCCCAGCCCTGAAGAAAGAAATTGTCTAGATCCAGAGAGACAGAAGAAAGGGTTCTTTCCCTGGATGCATCTGATCTAGCTTCGATCCTCAGCACCACATAGGGTCCTCTGAGCACTGTCAGGCGTGTTCCATGAGCACGGAGCAGGAGTAATCCCTGAGCCCAGCGAGGTGTGACTCGAACACCAAAAGGGAAAACAAAGTATGTCTGAATAACAGCTGTACAGCAATAATAATCTGGCTGGATAGGAAGATGGAAGAATAAGAGAAGTATCCCAAAGATGAAATACTGATAAGATACCTGAAATAGACACAGATCTTTGAGCACTTGAGGAAGAACATAGATAAGAGTAGCACAGACATAATGAAATAGTTACTGAAAAGTAGTCATATACAAGAAAAAACCAAGTAAATAAAGGATCTCTTTTTTAAAAAACAATTATTAGGGGGTATGGTGCCGCCAGCAGGTCAATCTGTACCTGTGAGGCAAGTACATCAGCAGCCTCATGGCGCCTTCAGACTTCCAGATACCCCAAAACTTGCTGCTGTGCCTTTGGCCAGACCCCAAAAACTTGGGGCAAAGTTTACCAAGAAAGTAAACGGCCAAAAGTTAGGTATGTGGGAAACATACCCACAAACCACCTCTGGCTCAGCTATATAATTGGAGGCATGGCCTCTCTGGTTCCCTATTGAACTGCTTAATGGCCATGATCCCAGAGACTCAGAAACAAATCTCGAAACCCAGCGGCTTTTGGAAGAATTGTGTCCGGTCCCTGCAGTAGGTTACCGGTGCTGGGCCAACCCCGGTGGGAACAGGTTTCATGCCTTGGCCTGTTCCCCCCGGCGGCCCAGTGGCTGCCATCCTTCAGAGGCCACTGGACAGTCAGGTTTGGGCCTGCAGTGACGAGACATTTTGAGCCTCACGGGATGGGGGTGGAGCCGGTCCTTCCCACCCCAATGAGACCCCAAGTCATCGCCCACGAACGACTTCCAATCAAGCTGCTTAACCGCCATGATCCCAGAGACTCAGAAACAAATCTCGAAACCCAGCAGCTTTTGGCAGAAATGTGTCCAGGCCACGCAGTAGGTTACTGTCGCTGGGCCACCCCAGGGAGGAAAGGGTGCTGTCCCTCCGCCTGCTTCCCCCTGGCAACTCAGCAGCCATCATCCTCCAGAGGCCATTGGACAGTCAGGTTTGGGCCCACAGTGACAAAACTTGTTGGGCCTCACGGGATGGGGGTGGAGCTGGGCTTGTCCTCCCCACTCCAATGAGACCCCAAGTCATTGCCCACGAACGGCCTCTCTGGCTCCTGATCAAGCTGCTTAACGGCCATGATCCCAGAGACTTAGAAACAAATCTCGAAACCCAGCGGCTTTTGGCAGAAATGTGTCCGGACCACGCAGTAGGTAACTGTCACTGGGCCACCCCAGGGGGGAAAGGGTGCTGTCCCTCCGCCTGCTCCCCCTTGGCGGCTCGGTGACCGTCATCCTCCAGAGGCCATTGGACAGTCAGGTCTGGGCCCGCAGTGACAAAACTTGTTGGGCCTCACAGGATGAGGGTGGAACCGGTCCTGTTCTCCCCGTCCCAACAAGACCCCAAGTCATTGCCCAAAAATGGCCTCTCTGGCTCCTGATCAAGCTTCTCAATGGCCATGATCCCAGAGACTCAGGAGCAAATCTCGAAACCCAGTGGCTTTTGGCAGAAATCCCTCCAGATTTAAGTGTTAAAATTTCGGAATTTCAAAATCACATGGCCCTACTGCAGCCACGTGACATCATATGTTATTCATAACCAGCAGTAGAACACAAATTGTCTACTGTTGCCTTTTTATCAGATCTAAGTGTTAGTGTAAAATTTCAAATAATAATGGTGGGTCTGGTGTCGAAATATTGAATGTGATCAAAGTAGAGAGAGAGTAATGTGGAAATCATCTGTCCCATAAGTAAGGGGAGGGTGTGAGATAAGGGTATACTGAGGTTTTTGGTGGTGGAGAATGGGCACTGGTGAAGGTACGGGTGTTTCATTGTATGACCGAGACTTAGACCCAAAAGCTTTATAACTGCTCTCACGGTGATTCAATAAATAAAATTATAAAATATGAAAAAAATAAAATAAATAAAATAAAAAACAATTATTAATTCCAGGGGTGTTGGGGGGATGGTGAGGGGGACAGTCGATTTACCCAAGAAGATAAATATACTATTTGGCTCTACAGTGAAAATATTTCCAAAGTTCTAGCAGTACTAATAACAGTAGTTGATTACACCCAAACTGCTTATACAAAGAAAATGGGAAAGGGAATTAAAGGGAAA